CTTTCATATCTCCGCATAGTTGCATGCATTCTACCACTCTCGTTTTGGCAACATCAAGTGCAGAAACCTTTAACAACATCTTGTTTAGCTAATGAGAACTGATCAACAACCTTCCCACTGATGTTGTCAGCTAATCTAGAAATGGTAGCCAAGCTTGTTGCTAACTGTTTCGCATCTGACTCAACAACTAACAAACTGTTGTTCAGCTTAGAAACGGCCATAGCAAAAGTACGGGATTGTTCGAAACCAGCTGAGAATGAGATAATGCGAGTCATAGTGTTCTCACTTCTACTCACCTGCACTTCCCTCGGCCAGAGCAGCGGCGATCTCTTTCTCTAATTTCGCTTCTTCTCTTTTCCTAACATCGAGCTCTGTACGGAGTTCTCTCAATACATCAGTGAAGTTGAAGTCAGAATCTCTAGAATCATTCAGGAATCAGGACAAGTTAGTAATAGTAAGAACATACGAATCATCTTGAGCTTCAGAAACTGCTCGTTGCCTTGGGCGTCCGGAAGGAATTATTTTAAGTGGGAGCTAGGAGTATTGTTGTTACAGGAAAGGAAAGGTAAAGCTTTACTTTTAATAAACTTTCAACATTGTTTAAATGATCAGAATCTGGGATAAATACACTAGTGTCGACGAGAACCATTTCAACTTAATGAGAGAAGAATCTGAACAGGTGAGGATGATAAGGAAAAAAATACAAAAAAAAAGATCCAAAAGAGATCAACTTACACAAACATCAAAAAGATAATGAAAAAGTTCCAAATGGCGATGAACACTCGAAAGTATTGCAACGACACAATAAATTCTCTTGCACGGTCGCCTAACGATCTAGACTCGGTTTCAGAGATGAACTGATCGAAGTCGTGGGGAGATTTGGAGCTGAACAAAAAAAGCTTGTGATTCATCATGTTTTGAGAAAACTAACAGTTTCAAGTTGAGCACGGCACAAGCGTTTATGAAGAGTGTACCAGAGATGACGAGCTCAGAGAGCATAATTTGACTTATGAAACCAAAGGAAAGTCTGCACTTCTTTCCGTCAACTGTGTACCAGCTTAAAAAGGAATATCTTGAAAGCGTCATGTTGTGAAGCTTCATTTTGCATATAAACACAAAACAGAACTAATTGTTAATTAGAGATAAGTGTTAAAATCTTTAAAAAATGTGGCTTTCCGGACATTCAGTTAGAGATGGCTCGTGGTAGGACCGGCGCAAATTAGACCTTTAATCCAAGTTGGTGACCTCGCAGTCTTTTCACTCTTAAAACTTATCTGAATCTACACATCTCAGAAACAATGAACAAAGGAATTGTAAGAAAATGTTTTTAATATGACCGTAAGTATTCGAACAGCTAAATATGATATGATATTTTCAAGATAAGAGTTAGTCAACATGTACAAATTATGACATTACTAAGTGCATCGTAACTTTCGTATCACATTTTCAAGACCAGAATATACATAAATTATTTCTACAAACTTTATACAGGTTAGTCTTCCTCGTTAGCTGCAGACTCTACAGCTACCTCTTCCTCCTCCTGGAGGATAGGATGTCTATCCAAAGACTGTTCCTGAAACACATTACAATTCATAAAATGGTAGACTCAATTTTACAACCTTGGTAACTTTATAGATAAGAATGGCTGCAGCTAGGGCGACCAAAATGACACCTCCAGCACAAACAAAAATATTTCCAATTACAGAACTTCCTTGCCTGAAACAACAAGAGTATACATGAGACATAAACCGCCGCTTACAAAGCATAGTTCAGTTGTAGCAATTGGGCCCGTGTACCTTCATCTAGCCAGGCAGTTTCATTCATCCACAAGACCGGCATAATCATATTCGTTGTGTTTTTCAATACGCTTGAATCAGCATTCAACTAAGATATAAAACCCAAATACAAACTTGAGGTTTCCCTTTCTCATTCCCATATTGATTTGCATGATTCTTTTGGCTCGAATAGGGACTCCGCTCGTTTTCTCGACATCAACCACTGTCTTATCATGTTGAGAATTAGGCAGTTCTATGCCCTCGACGGACGACCAAACCTATTTTTAGGACAATTTGCAAACCTCCAACTACAACTCAAATACAAACCTCAGTAGGAGCTCCCAAGAAATGTCCTTGAGACAAGTATATACGAGGAGCAGAGGGCAGACAACGCCCGATATCAATGAAGCCGGGAGGCAGACAACCATCTAAACATACTTATGTCGAAATCTAAATGGATTACGAAAGAACCTGGTTGAATAGACCCATCGAAGAATCGTGGAGTATCATTCTTATTACAGAAAATTTTATTGCTCGGATCAGTTGTATCAAAGAGTCTGTTAGGCATTTCGAAACGATAAGCAGGAACATCATGGAACTCCGAGACATCTTTGTAGTCAAGTGCAATCATTCTGAGAATTTGGTCATTTCATGCCACTTTGTCTTTCTCTACCTGCACATAGGTCCTGCGAAAACATGGAGAGAATCTCCTTTTTGAATTAGAGGTGGAAACAGTTGGCCATCCGTTCCATTGACGAAACCAGCAGATGGATCATCCCACACATTGGGAATAGCTGTCAGATTATTGAAAGAGAAAACCTGGCATAGGATTTATAACCTCATTAGTATAAAAAACTACCTTTCCAATAGACATACGATCTTTCAAACCAGTGCTAACTTCATAAAGTCCATCATCAGTGTTATTTTGCTGGAACAACGATCATGAGTAAGTGAATGACTGTCGAAAACATTAACATACATTAGCGAGGAAACCAATTTTCTCTGGAATGAGCCCATTCTTACAGAATATTTTCAGCAATGTGTTGTTGCATATTTTACTGAGCAGTGGATCTCTGAATCCATCAAACAATGCCTCTCTAACAGGAACCTAATATAGATTGTTGGTTAATTTGAATTGCGAAAGAGATTCACCGTGATGAAAGCAGTTTCTTTTGCAGTAGACAATATGGATTCCAACAGAAATCGGATGACGGTCGTTTGAGTGGCGGCGAAGTCGACTAATTTCTGAACGATTAGCTGAAGAGACAAATGGAAACAAGAGCAAACCTGGAAAACAGGGTTTGGAACAGTTACCAGAAGATCGAGCTTGCACTTCTCGCATGATAAACTAGCATTGTACATGTACAAGTGATTATTGCGATAGGATACTCTCGACTCATCTTCACTGAATGTAAAATTCTTCTTTTGTTTTTCTCTATAATCAAACAATTGGAAAAGAAGTTGTTACCAGACAACTTACGAAAACACGAAAGGCCCAACCTCGTTAACTTTGGGTTTGCCGCCTTTCATGATGTCATCTGGGTTAGTAACCTTAAACGGATTTCATCATGCTCATGCTAAAAAAAGCTCCTACATTATATATCCATACGTGCTGACGCATATCATAAAGAGGTTGCGCCCATCGTTCAGTAACGGAACTTGGAACCTTTGTTCCATTCTTAATGACTGTACCAATATAAGCCTGCTTAAATGCAAGAAAATGACGAAAAGTTATGAAAATGTGAAAAACCTCAACGGCAATGTGCTCAACGACAGAGGGAATAAGAATGGTTACAATTAAGCCGATGATGATTAACACAATCCCGCTTGCAAAACTCCATATGACACCCGATTTCTTGGAACAACATTGCATATCCAGATACTGGAAACTGTCATGATTTTGTTAAAAATAGAAAAAAAACACTATAATAATGATGTTATTATTAACAAATCGAAGTAGCAAACAAATTTTAACACACTAGAATCTTGTTGAATAAGTGTTCTTAAGTACCGTACCCTGCGAGATGTATGACTTCTCTCAATACGCATACTCTCTAGCGAACTTTTAACAATGGTCCACACTTGCTGCATACTAACCCATTTTTTCAGCTTCGAATTCTTTTTGATTCATTAATTCAATGTTATTTTCGCTTTGAAATCGATCAATGAACACATTCGTATATCTATATAAGTATCAATTCAGTTACGCATACTATAAAAAGAAAAAAAAGAAAGTCAATACAATTAAAACTTTATCCAATCCAGTGCATTACGTGAAATATATATTATATATAAAATTAAATATGAAGATGTGATAAACGTGCAAAGGCCATTTTCCAGGGCATATGACAAATACCTGAGGCATGCAAAACAGAAGTACCCGATAGAGAACCTGAGATTCCAAATATACAGTTATACAGAACGCCTACGAAGGCAAGGAAGACCAAGTTAGACGCGTAAGTTTAACGGTACAACGCTTAATACCGGAATATACAATCATAATTTACAAGCTATGCTACAGGTTGAGGTTGAACATTTGTTTTTGCAGTTGAGTTATCATATGGTATTCCGTTATCTTTAAGTAAGCGTCTCAATCTCTCATTTTCTTTGTTCATCTTGATCAACGAGTCGTGGTAAACTTCTGCTGTTTTTTCAATGGCCATTACTTCTTTCTCCAACTGTAAGATAAAAATAAGAAACAAGACATGTAAAGTACACATACCTCAACTTTGCTGAGATGGGAAATTCTATCTCTATTGAACTCATCGAATTCAGTTTCAAAATCTCGATGCTCTGGGTCACTCCAACTATCTGAGCCATCATCACTTGCAAGTAAGAGCTCAGATGAAACACTAATTGATCGTATTCTCCGCCTTTCTTCGGCGCATACTTCTTCGACCTGTAATGAATTGCTAATTAGTAAGCTCTTCTGATTTTCCTGAACTCACTTTTCTTTCCGTTTCTGTTCTTTCTTCAACGTCTTCCAGTAAGAACTGTGTTGTGTTGCTTGGTGCCATCGGCATTTCTTTTCTGAAATTGGTCAAATCATTATAACCAATATTTTAGAGGAAGGCTTGGTTTCGTTTATAGATGCTCAGTTAATGCCACATATTCGTTTTATTGGAATATTCGTACTAACCCTTCTGACTGTGCAGAGCACAAGTGTGACCATGACGTCGGCATGTCATCCATTCCATCTTAAACAATTTCCATCAGTAGGAACTTTGATGGAATATAACAAGAATAGTGGAAACCACAGATTTTGGGGGGTCAGTTTGGTGTCAAAATGCATTAGGTTGTTTTGGCCAGTCAGTTAATGGTTCATAATTTTGCGAAAGAACATAAATACCGTAATCTTGAAATTCAACTCACCTCAATCTTAGCTTCCTGTCACTTCCAGTATGAACATGTTCTCCCTCAGCTTCAGCAACGTCATAGGGACGATAACGACCACGATGACCACGACGTCTTCTGGCACGTTTTCGCTTTTTGTCGATATCCATATCACCGTCGGATACGCTTTGTTGGTCATCAAGTGACACACGCTTTCCGTTGGGTGACGACATAACTGTTCTCAGCTCAACGAGTAGATTCGAATGAGCCCCAACAAGTAAGCTTTTTACTTTGAGAACTTCAGAATCAGAAGACGTCAACGATTGAACGTCTTCAGATGGATGTGTTTCGAAAATTGCGCAGATAGGAGCGATTCGCCCGGCAAAACTAGAAACGAGCCGCAGCTCCCGCTGCTTATATACCAAACGCACAGCCGCTCGCGCGGAGGATTGCGACCGCTTGTCCCGCCCCTCAGCAGACGTGGAAAGGTAGGGAGCGCGCACAACTGTTTAGAGGTTAATAAAAAGTTAATCATTAAATGGATTAGGGGGTGATTGACATATCTGGAAAGCTCTCGCCAGCAGCTTCATTTTGATATGGAAAAAGGTGTCATTAAGAGAAGGATGTAGGAATGGTAAAAATGCATCATTTGTGTTCCTCGACTGCCCAGTCCCGGCGGTACATTTCATATTCAGTTCTCGTTGTGGATATGCTTCATGTATTCGATAGTTACTGGATTTATATATTTACAAGTTTGGTTAAATCAGTTATATATGTGATTTTCGGAAGTTTTGATATTTATTCTTCTAAGAGAGAACGATAGTTAATAGTGAATGTCGAAGGGCGAATTGTTTTGTGTCCAATAATATTTTGTCGCATTTGAATGAAAGCATATCTTGCTCTCTCTCGCAGCCTCTTTCACTTTCACTGAGTATAGAAATACACATGCCGACATACCACCAGCTTCAATTGAGTCTTACATCTATTGAGAATTATCAACTACTAACTGTTCCATATACTAATAGCATTCAATCACTTCTTCTCACTTGAAATCAGAGGCTTACAATATGAATATTTATCTTGTTATATCCTCATGGAATTACATTTATTATGTGTCATGATGTTAGAACCCTTAAAATTACTTGCTTGATGCTTAGCCCAAGGCATTGGCCAAGATAGACGACATTATTTGGTCAATCAAAAGAGATTGCAGACGGCGAGGGTGTTCAGATGTGAAGGAAGACCATTTCATATGTAGAGAACAGAGAATGAGTAGAGATAGCAGAGAGTTTAGGACATTGCAGATGGAAAACTAGTGTTATCAAAGAAGAGCGGGAGGATAGCATAGTAAACAAAAGCTTTGTATTCTGATATTTTGCCTCACTTTCGAAAGAAGCAGTATTCACACAATATTTTATCGATCAACACAAATCCCAAGTTGCTTCATTTTCTGCTTCCTCTTCATTTCGTAGAGGGGATGTTATGATTGGTTGATAAAGGCTGTGCAGAAAATAGACACACTCTTCCTTCTTCGGCATGCATGTATGTAGGCTGGCTGGCCGGCCGGCCGACCGACCGCCGCGTCTCTGCCTTCGATCGCTTGTGCTTTCGCTTGGATGGACTGCCATTTTGACGATTTGTCATCGGAAAGAAACATAATTCTAAAGTCTTTTACTCTTTATGGATACTAAGCTAATAGCGCCGTTGTATTGGTTAAGAAGAGAGAGATAGACGGAGAGAAGAGGGAGGAGATGGAGAGCTTCTCAGCCAACCGTCGAAACGACATTGCCTCTTTTCCTGCGTCTCTAGCTTTTTCTGTAGCTTCCTCTACCCACATACGATTGAACGCTATTGTCTGCCCTCACATGACTTCCAACATCTCTTCCTTCTACTCCTAAACACAGAAATGTCATTAAAAAATAAAGTTGAAATATACGCGAACAATAGTAAATCCATAAATGTTCATCTCTAGCCTCACGTGTGGGTGCAATTATTTTTGCCAGTCGTGTGGCGTAACTGGTATCGACAGTTGACATGTGTGCCAAAAAGAAAACTACCCATACATGGATCTATTGTATTCTAGAGAAAGAGAGTGAGAGAGGGATAGTTTCATTTAGAGTACAAGAGAATTCTCTTTCATTGCCTATCAATATCTCTTTAGCATTTGTCAATTCTTCCTAGTGTCAGCTGATAATCGTTGCTCGCACACGAAAATCAAGAGCGCAATGGAAGTAGCACCCTCTCCTCTCTTTTCGATCGAAACTTTCGCGAATCTGATAAAATGTGGGGCTGGGAGTTCTAAAATCAAGTAAAGAAAGCCATTTGGGCTGCAACCAAAAACGTGCCTGATATCATTAAAATAGCAAAACAAGCCATACGTAGTCGTCTTAACGTCTGATAGGCTCTATTTTCTCTTCTCGGGTAACTTTTTACGGACGCCCAACCTGGCAGAAGGAGTGTTCCGAACTGTTATCTTCCAAAAAATGGCGCAATTGATTTCTCGTGCTAGCAGAACGACGACGAAAATATCAAAAACAATCATCGTCGAAAATGGAAATTCGCTGGCTGCCGACAGAAATCTGTTTCGATAGCTTAGCAGCAACGAATCTTTATCAGTTCCCCAATTAAACAACATATAGGGTTTTATCTATAGATTTTTTGAGAAAGGCCACCACCGGACAGTCCATATCGCAGTTAACCCCGGCAGATGTCCTTTATGTTCTGATCGATTTTTTTGGATTCTCCTCCTCCCTGTGTCTTCGTTCTTCGTTCTCCTTTTATCTCTTCCTGTCTTTCCTTCTTCTCCACCCTCTCCAACCCTCCTTTTTTCTCCAAACATAACTTGTTATGTTTTGAATTCTAATGAATATCTTTGTAGGAGGGGGGAAAGTCATTCATTCTTGCTTATCGAGATTAGCGACAAATTTGTAACATTTGTCCTTGCCCATGCATTTGCTATATCGTCATCGTCCACAAAATCTTGTCCATCAGCTGTTTCTTGCTTGCCTATAAATGTATGGAGGGGAATTGTCGGCTGACTGTCTTTGTCAACCTGGCCGTGACAGATGCAGGTTCGGCCGAGAGGGTAAGCCCACAACACCCCCATCTAGCTATATGCGGGAAAATTGGAAGAAGAGAAAGCTAAGGCCGAAATTAAAAATATAGAGTTGGAGAAAACATACATATAACTGCTTGTCATACATATTACCTGTTTCCAACCTGTTACTTCACAAGTGCTTCTGTTTCTCTGGTCCTCTCTTCTCAGTCTTCATGTAGTTAATTTTTCTCTAGTTTCGTCTTCTTCTTCAACATCCGTCTAACGAACATAACAGCAGTAGCAACAGGCACTCTCCGGCAGCCGGCATACTTGCATACACACAACGAGATACTTGGATAGAAGAAGAGAATTTTGAGAAACAGAGAAGGAGAACATGCTGAAAAGAAAGAGGGGGCGAGCAAGATAGTAAGAAGAGGGGCACATATACACATATAGACCCCGAATGCGACACAGAAAGAACGATGATGACGACACCACGTGATCTTCCAGAAAAAGGATGAACAGAAAGAAAACGAGGGTCACTATTTGAAAGAGGATTGGCAGCCAGCCCAAAAAAGGGTTTTCCAACTGCCATCGCTAACCATACTGTCATGTCGCATCACTTAAGGTGAACTGAGCTAAGCAGCTGAAACGATCAAATACCCCTCTTAATTAGACAAAAATTAGTAATCAAAGGCTTATTATATCCCATGGTAACCAGCCGAAACAAATGCTTCCTTTCGTTTCTGTCGTACTGCCCGCATAAACACATTCTCTCCAATATTGATTGTTTGACCCGTATAAGCCCATATTGAGGGATCTATAGCACAAATGCTTAACGAAGAAATACAAACTAAAGAAGCGGGTCAATGATTCTTCTCATTCTCATCAAGCATTTTCAAATCAAAAATAACTGCGTACTCTCTTATGAATGTGTTTTCGTTTTAACTCATGTCTGTCATCCTCCCTCAACAATGCGAGCAGAAGCAAAAAAAATTGCTGTTCATTAGCCAAACGCTGTTAGTTTCCGGCAACTTAGTCCAGCTGAACCAACTTCTCTTAGTCCATTTGACTGCACGAACGCTCTATCGACCATAGGCCGTGCAAACATGAAACAACCTCTCAAGCATTTTCCGCTTCCGCTTGTTGTTACACCCAACACTTTCTTTCAGTCATAACTGCATAATACATAATCTACTATATGCTTACAATTTAAAAAATCATGCAAAATATAGTACCAAAAATTTGAAAAATCGATAACCTATAAGCTATCATTTCAAAAATCACTTTCGCGCCCTCAGTCACGGACAATGCGTCACGTGGTTTGTATTTTACTGAGCGATATTGCGACGAACGGTTGTATCACGTGTATCATAGGTGCTTGTAGATGAAAAATTTTTTTGTTTTTCAAATAAGGGCGTCGCGTAAGCTGCTTGCGGATAATAAAATCCGTCTCTAACTTACTTCGAACACCACCATCACAATTTTCCAGACTCATAACTTTACATCGCTCTTCGACTGTTATGCAGCAAAAAAAAAGTTCAAACACAAGCAATAGACTTGGAAATGTGCGGAGTGAAGTATCAGCAGAATTTCCCATCCAAAAATTATTTTTTATACTATGAAATGGATTACTATCGAAAACATGGGAAAACGTAAATTACGTGTCTGTGAAAAGCTCATTAAACTATTCACTCTACAGAAGTGTGTCTATCGTCTATGTGTTACTACTCATTTCTATGAAGAGAGAGAGAGAGAGAGAGAGAGAGAGAGAGAGAGAGAGATGATCTTCAGAGAGAGTGTGAATGAACCGTCAGAGGCAGATAAGAGAAAACCAGTATTATGCATTAGATATACTAGCTTTGACACTCGTGTCTATAACGTTGTATCCTCGATTCTCAGCATCTTCTTGTTGCATGGTAGAATCGGTCTATGGTAACCGTTATGCCTAATTTCTACATTTTCTTTTTTTTTTGGAAACATGCGGAAAGTGTTTGCCCCATCGATGATCGCAACTTAGCGCGTCTTTGTGAAGTTTTTGATGATGTGTGCGAAATGTTTAAGAGAAGACACATAAAGTAACAATTCAGCATGCTGGCCAACTGTGTTTCCGAGCCATTGTACTGTTATACATGTACAATTCCCATAGTTTAGTTGAATTATGACGCAATCTATTCTATTAACGTATTGCGCGTAGACGCTGTTGTGTCGAAAGCATATGCACCAGCCAGCAGTAGCAGCAGCATAATCACAGTAAACGCCTGCAGGAACAGAAAATTTTTTATGAAAGCTATAACTCATGGAGCATTTGATTCATCTGATTTGTGTGTGTGTGTGTGTGTGTTATCCAAACTATTTCATTTATTCTCTTGGGCTCGCCGGAGTATGTGTGAATCGAACGACTATTGTTTTGAAAGTTAGAAGGGCATCAAGAAGTTGCAGCAACGGAGGTTCATCAGAATTCTTCCGGCTTGTCTTCTCTCCCACTCATTTCAGTACATTCACCATCAAATCTTTTCAATAGCCCAAGTTAGGTTGGGGATAAACAAAAAGAGCCAATAATCATTTGACTATAAATATGTTATTAGAAGCCTTATAAGTTTCTATGAATTACTCTCAACGAATCCAGATGAATAGAAAGACAAGTATGAAGTTTTTTGGTTGAAGGCGATCGATGGCCTCCAATTTAATGATGTTTTGAAAAGATACATCAAAAGCGAAGCTGATGAATCGGCCACCTAACATGGTTGGCTACAAATTTCCTCAAATCCAGTGACGAAACCATCGTGCAGACCCATAAAACATATTTTTATAATATTTCTAACAATATGAACTAGCAGACAGACAGACGAGTCTGGCTGGCTTGCTGGCGGGCTGTTGCACCCAGTGCTGCTCAGAATAATTTCGGACAACTTTGATTGCTCTTGACGTTTTATTAGTTGAAATTACTTTCTGTTGCCCATAAATTGTCTCTTTACCTACTTCGTTTGGAAAAAAACATATGAATAGAATTTGTGAAGAGCTTTCCTAAGAATAACATTTGTTATTCGCATCACACACAAATGAATGAACGGAAGTTGATCGAAAAACCAGAAATTATCACAGTAGAATGATATATACAAACATTTTCTCTCCAAGTCCATAATAGGACTGAAATCACGTGCTGTCCGCTACATGCGACGCTCAAGTAAAGTTCTTTGAGTACACACATGAACAGCCTTAGTCACGGCGGCTTGGGGACGCAAAGATTAGGATGAGACTATTGATTATAAACGAACTTATATGGGAATTTCCACTATTTCTTGTTCTTCATGTCTGTCAGGGCCGTCGCAAATCAAGCTATATTGAGGAGGAAGAAGAAAACAGTGAAGCCGGAACACACAATAATAGTCTTTAGACTGAGGTTCGATGTTTCTTGCGCTTCGAGAGCGGACAAAGTTTGAGGAGGGTGGAGAGGGTGGAGAGGGTGGAGAGAGGAAAAGTGAGAGAGGGGCTGAAGCATTAAAAGAATAGCTTTCGAGGAAAAAAAGAAAAACTCGATCAACGTTTGTCCAGCAACTATGTGAAAGACGGGAGAAAGGGACAACGACAACCACGACGACGCTGACGACGCCGAAGAAGACAAGAGATGAGAGAAAACAGAGTTGTGCGAGACTAAAATAGACACGATCCAGTTCAGAAATATATGTGCATATACATAAACGATTGGCTGACTGCTTCAAAGCTTTGATAACCAAATATGTTAGAGCTCTGGACTCATCCATGAATTCCCAATTTCGTGACGCTTTTTTCTTCTTGGCTCTGCACATGACCAAGTCAGCTATATCAAGCTTTAGTCCTAAGTTTCATACTGCGTCGAAGTTTTTGCAAATTGCTAGAAGCCACTTCATCATTGGGGCCCATTTGGATGGCTTTGAGGTAATAGACCTCAGCGTCTTCCAGTTTGCCCATAATATGCAAAATGGCTCCATAATTGGAATAACTCGTGGACGACATTGGCTCTAGTTCTACAACACGACGGAGCAACTGCAAAAGAATCTTATTGTGTGAGAGAGTGAGAGAGGAAGGAAAATCACTTTTTCAGCTTCCAACATTCTCTTGTGGTCCTTATAGATGAAAGCTAAGGCATTCAAAGTGTTGAGGTGATTGGGATTCATGTCGAGATTCCTTTTCAACAGCTGTTCTGCTAACTTCCAATTGCCCTAAAAACAAGGAATTGAGGGATGCTGTGCGATGTTTGGGGTAGATATGAAATTCGAAAAAAGGCAAAAATATGGATCATTCTCTTACCAGTTTTGTGTGCATAACAGCTTTATGATAAAGTATCTGATTGGATGCGAAATTGAGTTTGTCCAGCTCGTCCAATATCGACACGGCATCTTCGGAACGATTCTGAAAAACGGCAAATACACAACGATGACTCAAGTAACACGTACTTGTTTTACGCGAAAGTATGCGAGATTCAAGTAAGTTTTTTCATTTTGAGGTGAAAGAGCTAAAGCTTTCATGAAGAACTCATCAGCCTTCTGAGATTCATCCAACTTGACATACACTTCAGCAAACAGATTGTATGCATTGATCAACTGTTCAGAATTAGTTATCTTCACAACAGGAATCTGCAAATTATTATTTTGATGAAAGAATTTCGTTTTTATGATGTTTTTACATTCGATTTGAATCTTCAAAAATCAATATTTGTCTTTTTTTCATAAAATAGAGAGAAAGACGAAGGGCGAGACAAGAAAATAACAAGGAGGGTGAAGGAGGCAGGGGACTTACTTGCTCTATGATCGCCTTCGCCTCATCCACACGTGCCACACTTTGATAAATTTGAGCCATTTGTAGCCAACAACTGATCTGCGTTTTTTCATGAAGTCGCTGGCTTTTTGTTCGTAATCCATCAATAAGAGTGCAACGATGAAGAATTTGCAGAGAATCTTCTAGCTTCTGCTGTTGCCATAGAAGAATTCCAAGATTCAAATATGCTGAACACACACACTTGAGTACTTAAGATGACAGTTTCAAAACCTTGAGTAAAGTATTCTCTGAATCGTATAGCTTCACGATAGCATCTTTCCGCTTTTGACATATTCTTCTTCTCATTGTATAGGACACCTCTGGAATTTTCATCATGACAACACCGTCTGTCTGCACATGAATCAATAACTCACAAATTATACCAGGCATCGGCCATGTTTGGTTGAATTTTTAAAGCTGCTTCATAAGCTCGTAGAGCTTCCTCACGCCTTAGAGGATTATCAGAAAGCTCGCGTCCCAAATTGGTCAGAGCTGAATTAAACAATTCAGATGATTGGCAGGCATTGACAAATCACAACCTTTTGCGGGACTGGTATTCATACCACTTCGGTAAAGACCTTCTGCCGTTTGCCAATCTGCATTCCGACTGATAGTCCTCTGAGCCAGAAGTAATAAAGCCGCGATAAAAGCGACATTCAGGATATCTCTGTATTTGGGGAATCTGAAAAACACATGATTGAGGATGACAGGATGAGAAATGACAAACTTCTTTTCAAGAAATACGAAAGTAACAGCAGCCAGATAACAGAAAGCTACTGAAGGCAAATATAAAATTCGTTCGGCTATCACAAATCCCACATAAACGAACAGATTAGAGGCAGGCAAGAATGATACGAGTAGAATGAATGAGAAGAACAAAATATCTTCCAGATTATCGCCCTTAACGGAAATATAATCTATGCCATTAAAAACAGAATCTCACGTTTTGTAATGAAGTCAAATGCAATAACTTGCTTCGTGAAATCTTTTCAAAACATCTGAAAGACGAGGGAAATTCTCTAAAACCAATGAACACACAGTCACCAACCTCAACCCTATTAATCCACAAAGCAATGTAACCAATGTATAAAACACTATGATCAATGCTATTCTGAAGTCTGATGAAGACACTATCGGCTGGATATACTCCAGTGACCAATCGAAACTCAACTGAAACACACAAATCGATAATCAAGTTTTTGTTTTCGAACAAAACCGTATTAGGAAAACATAACAGTCGCAAGTTGAACAAAGGCAGATAGAGTAAGGTGAGAAGACGTGTAAACGAGTTCTTCTCGAAAGCCAATGGATTGCTTGACTTCGCAAATCTGAAATCATTTTGATTTGTCATTTCGCACAACACGGTCGCATTCACACATGCTCTAACTACTTACTGTGGCTTCTGGAAGTTGTTGACAAACAGTCTGAAGTAAGTTATTCCTAATCCAATCGCAAGTAATTGAAAAACTTTGGTGAGTTTTGTTCTCTGGAAGAAAAAAAAGAAATTTGTTTGGTCATTGTCCGCATTCGTTATCCCTTTATGGGCTCATTAGACTTCTCAACCCCACCACCATGCGGTAAATATAAAAACCGTCTTGTGAAAATATTTTTGGCATCAAAAACAAGGAAAGGAAGTGGATATATAAGAGGATTCGGTGAGGATAAGAAAGACTGGCCATTAATTCAGCTGGCCATTGACTAATTCACGCCTTTAATGGCATTGCATAGAACAACGGAAACGTCAAACCGTATGACCTTTGAGGAAGGATGAAGACATTTCTTTAAAGAGACAGAGGTCACATGACTTCCTTCTAACTAAGTGCTCATCCCACACAAAAACAAAATTACGATTAGAAGATCAAAATAATGTTGCAAGGAAGATGCGCCATGTGGTGGCCTTGAAAAACTTACTGGCTTATTTTGAAGGAATAATTGAACAATATGAAGGAATGGTAGAATTGCACCGGATTCCTTACTACCCACAGCCAATGCTGACCAGAAAAATGAATGCAAAACATTCTGAAAACATGAGCTACAGCATTTCAAATATGTAGAATGAAAGGGACTACCTGTCTCTTCTCAAAGTCAATCAACGACTTCAACACAAAAATTGTTAACAGAACATCTGCTCGGCCAACTATGCTAGCTACAGCTTCTGAGTGAATAGGATGAACTGCAAACAAGAGAGCAGCCAGAAACGGTACGGTATCTAAACCATAATCATTACATATGCATGTTACAACATGTCAATCTGCTACCTATTCGTTTTCTAGAACATCCCAATTGGTAAACCAAACAAGAGGCAATCCCGTGTAGGAGGACATTCACAAAGTGAAATCTGAAAACAAAGTTTATGAGAACCCTTTCTTAATCGTGAAGCGCATGCTCAACTCTATGACGTATATCTCTCTCCCCCCCCCCTCTGCCAAATATAAATTGAAAGAACACAAGAATGGCAGATATTGCTGGGTAGTAATTTAGGTTATAGCTAGAAAGCACATGAAAATGAGGTTGTCCATTACGAATGTCTGAGAAGAATAAAGAAGCTAACCCAATTCTATTTCCCTTATATGTTCATCATAAGCTTCATCCTCTCTCTCAATCTCTCTTACTCGGCAATCTTTTCTCTCAACATCTTCTATCAAGAGAGAATGCAAACTCAATTAATTCCGCATGTCCCTGTACATACGTAGTCTAACTACGTTTGTAGTACTCACACTCTCTCCTGCAGTCATTGGCCAAGAAGGACATCCGCTTTCATCATTTCTTTAAAGTCATTACCCATACCATAGTTGTAAAACCATTTCACACACAAAGAAAGCAGATGCCGGAGACAGCCTGGTATTAAACGTTCGTTCAGCTCCGATAGGCACGATAAATTCATTAGCATACGTTTCCTTCCTACATCATCCCAAAATGCATATCGAGCATCAAGATCAGAACTGCGTCTATGGGGAGTAGACAGCAGTTATTACAGACAATGGAGAAGAATTAAGCTGGACGTTATCTGCCTCTAGGTCAGAAAAGCTTCTTCCTCAACTCACAATCAATATTGGTCACTCAATTTGGAATCGCATATTTCCACAAATGAGCAGTAAAACAAGCAATTATGACATTGGTGGGCAAATCATTCATATTTCCATCTGACGCCTTGATATGTGAGCAGTTCTTGGTGCAGACTCCTCCAGAATGTCTTAATTAGGACTTTCGGACAGAAGAAGAGAATGCATCCATTCCAAGAACACAATTGGGTTTCGGTCAGTAGCATATTTACTACGACGTTAACCTTTCTTTCTCATCATGAAATTTCCCAATCTCCTCGAGAGGCGAATATTATGGAGGAGATCGGGTGTGAGCTAACATAGCCATTAAGCTAATGTAATTATTCGAAAATGGCAATGAATGTTGGTTGCCATAGCTTTTGATAAGATGTAATGTTGGTAGTAAAAACGAGGCTCGACTAAACGTCTAATACACACACTCACTCACTACATAAGCATTCAAATGGATAAAACCCACATTGCCGAATTGAATCCAAAAATGGAATGAGTGATCCGAAAAGAAATAGTTGTGAGAGGCCTCCAACTTTTGTGAGACCCAGGACTGCTTATATCATTTCCCCAGAAATCGTGGAAGAATACGGAGAACAGCGACGATCTACCAGCAACATCATCGTTCTCGCTAATTGCAGCTCTAAAAAACATGAATTAAATTACTTATTCTCTTACTGTTGAGATAATCCAATGTTTAATGATTCATGTTCCCACCCCAAAAAAGGATTAAAGCTCTCAAGAAGCTAGTGAAGGACGAGGAAGCAGTTAATTCGAAAATTCAAACGTCTAGGACTTAGAGAATGGACTGGTGGTATAACCCAAAGAAACTCTTTCTTTACCGAAGGGATTCGTTTCTCTTGTTTACTCAAAGAAGAACCACTGTCAGCTTTGTCGTTTTCGTTAACAGTAGGTCAAGACATATTACATATGTCCATCTTCATACAATATTAATAACTAGATCTGCATTTATAAGGAAATTAACAGAATCTTCTCATGAATGCAGAACACGAATCCTATTAGCTCAAATGATTACCAATTACAAAGAAATACGAAAAACAGAAGTTTGAAATCGTGGTACCACAAGGAATTGGAATGCGACCGCATTCCTGGTAAACAGTTCACAAAATGAAATTCAAGGATTGGCAGATTGCCGCCAAACAAAAGATACAAACAATTTGAAATTACCTGTCATCATATACGAAATCACCACTGATAGTACTAACGAATACAGCAGTCGAAATAGAAAATAGAAATATGTACTTTGTTATTTCATTATTAGTAAACTGCATAGTAATTTTACCCGACATCTTCGCTGGACACTCTTAGAGGAAAACGACAAGTGGGCGGAGCACTCGCTTTACGCGACTCCGTTCACGACCCGTAACTGGCATCCCTACCCCCAATAAACAACAAAATTTTATTTAACAATTTATTTATAACAATAACAAGTTTAAGCCTTAGCCTCAGCAAGGAAGTCCTTCTTGAGTTTTCCCATGAAGGCAGCCTTTTCAGCAGAGGTTTGGAAGCGACCATGTCCAGTCTTGGAGCTGGTATCGATCCATTTAAGGTTGATCTTCTCGTGAGCGAATCTCTTGGATGATGGGATGAGAGATTTACGGAGGGTGATAAGTCTCTTCTTTGGACCAATGACTGATCCACGGAGCATGATGAAGTCTTGGTTGACAACTCCGTAACGTGGGAATCCTCCCTATAATAAAATAATTAATAAATGAAAGTATTGAAGAAAGAATTTTCTTCGAGGGTAGTCATATTCTCAGCTATGTTCCGTTTCCTCATCCAACAAGTGAGCATTGCAGACATTCTCATCATTGAAAAGACTACCCCCGATTCCGTTATTGAAAGTTGACTCACCATTGGGTTGATGGTCTTGTTGGTGATATCGGCTTCAGTGGAACCGTTGTTCTTTCCTTCTGGGGTGTTGCAGGAACGTCCAATACGGTAAACCTTCTTGTTGGTGACAGTTCTGTGGTGATAACCCTTTTGACCGGCACGAGCAACGGTGAAGGCAACACGAGATGGATGCCAAGCTCCAATACAAGCGACCTTGCGGAGACCCTTGTGAGTCTTGCGAGGAAGCTTCTTGGTGTGCCATCTGCTGGTTACTCCCTTGAATCCGTGACCCTTGGTTACACCGATGGTGTCGATCATTTCATCTTGAGCGAAGACGTTGTCGATTGGGATTTGCTTCTCGAAGTGTTCACGAGCCCATTCAACCTTTTGCTCGACGGTTCCTCCGTTGACTTGGATTTCCATCATGTGAGCCTTTTTCTGTCTGCGCTTAAGGATAGACATCTGGAAGAAAGATAAACGTCATTGCCGCTCATATTTTTTTCGATTTACCTGAGTGTGGGCGATGATTCTGATGACGGTACAGTACTTCTTCATCTTGTTCAAATCAGATTCGATAGACTTCTTTCCATCCTCGTCTTGCCATTTCTTGGCATACTTGGTGAAAGCCTTCTTCTTGGATTTACCCCTGCAGAGATTATAGATAGATAGATTGAACTCATGCCATTACGACAGCGCATCATACTGCCATGGCAAGTTCAATCCTTTCATACTCCTGAGGAGCAGAGGAAAGTTATCATCATTACTTGCTATGCTGTTATACTCATGAGATCATTAGAAATGTCACAGAGGAGATAACGTACAAGCTTTTGTAAAAGCTGTAATCGCTGACGTAACCCTTAAAAAATTTTGGAACAATAACTAACCAGTTCTTGTAGAAGCGACGTCTGCAGTCGTCAGAGATGTGCTCAGAGAAGACAGACTTGAAGGCACGTGGTCCGCGTGGGGTGTCGATGTATCCGACAACTCCGATGATGACCATTGGTGGAGTTTCGATGATGGTTACGGCTTCAACGACTTCCTTCTTGTTGACCTTGGAACCTGGCTTGTCGACCTAAGAAAATATATTATTACAAGAGCTTTTGATAGAGTAAAACTTACTTCACGGACGATGTGGGTCATACCAGCCTTGTATCCGAGGAAAGCGGTAAGGTGGATTGGCTTGGAAGCGTCATCCTTGGGGAAGGATCTTACTCTTCCGCGGTAAGTTCTGGAGCGCTTTTTGGGAGTGAATCCCATGTGACCGTGTCTAGGCGCCGAAAACTTTCGGTGCGACATTGTACCCTAGAAATACTTAAATTAAAATGATAAGATGATCTATATCATGTGGAAGCTTAAAGGATAAAGAAAAAATAAAAAATAACTGAAAATGAAACACACGAAACAACCCTAATTAAGGAAATGTAATACTGAGTAGGTGAAGAACGGATTCCACATTATCAAAGTAGGCCCAAATATTCGTTGCATTGCGAAAGTGTATGCATACACTTCGGTGTAGGGCGCCTTTTATTTACCGTAGTCTTTACGATTGGGGCGCGCTATCTGATGAACTTCGCCCACTCATTGACAACCCGAGGTTAACAATAAGATTAAAGTATCATTTCTGATAACATCATTTGTATTGTTTATTGAAGGAAAGGATTATTCGGAGATTCATTATATATCGTTTGAGATCTCAAAGAACACAAACCCAGCTGATTTATTCAGATTTTTTTCGCACCAGAGCTTGGAAATAGAAACAAATGGAATTAGTGAGAAGAACCGGTCATGAGTTCCGGAAAGTTTCCACTGCTCAGCATGTCTTCCGCTCACCTAATGAACTCAGAATGTTCTGGGATATGTCATTAGCATATAATTAATTGAGGAATGGAATACTTGACGTGGGTTGCGTCAGTTTTCAACACCACCAAGCTCTCAATTGAGATTCTCCAAAATGGGAAAAAACAATGTTATTGTGTTGCATTTGTTGTTGATACTACCACTTGTTGATGCTTGCAATCAAAAAATTTTACCATCAAAAGTTGAATTTCTGGAAAAGTTGGAAAATTTTGGTGCAAAAGCGAAACCTTCGCTACTCTCTTCGCGTGCTTGTAACCAATCTGCATGAGATGAATGGCTCACGAACACAGATTGTTTTGTTCCATTTAGTCTCAAAGAATCTGTATCAGTAAGCAACAGACATATACACACACACACACACACATACACACATTCACCATTAGCATCGTCATCTCACACAATCCCTCACTACTTTCCTTTTCCTTTACACACATCATGCTTGAGTCATTTACTTATTTCGTTGATTTGTGTTGGTGCAGTTGTGTGAAAGTGCGAACAAGGTGTTTTCGTCCCACAAGTAAGTTGAACGGAGCAGCAGCCGTTTATGAAATTTTGGTGACAAATTAGAAGATAGCTAGCGTTACATGAAGCAATTTTATAGTTGCGTAGCTGATTTCAATCAAACTTTCCACTTTTCGTCCATGCTTCATTGAGAATTAGCTATATTCGACTCTTTTTTTTCTTTTTTTTCCGTGAGTACACACACTTTGGGTCTTTCCAGTCGAAGCTTTTGTCGTTTGGCTGCTAACTTTTACTTTCCCTCAATGATGTTCTAAAGTGTAAAAAGTCATATTCATTTCTGTTTTTATCATCCATAGCTGGCTGACAAATGAGGAGAAAAGTTCTTTGCCAGAGTTCAGACCTTTTCAAATGAAAATATGGAATTTCAAAACTTCCTCCCTCACTTTTTTTTTTCTTCTCATAAATTATGCTGAAAACTTTTAAAACTTTAAATTACTTCTAACACATACACACTCACACAGACTCACTCACACTCCATACACACTCACATTTCTTTTTTTCTTTTTTTTCATAAAAATTGAACTTAATTGAGGAGTTGAAAGTTTTGCAGATGCAATTGGGAGAATCTTCTCTCTTCAGTTCCATTTGAGAGTCAAGCATTAACACAACTCTATTAATGATTCAAAAGAAATGAAAAAACGTTGTGAAAATGGTAAAACGCTCTTTAGACATCTCCCCCAACTTACCCTCTCTCTTCTTCTTCTCTCATTTCATTCTCCCCTCTCTCTTTCTCTTTCTCTATTTCTCTACTTCTTATCGACCCCACCTACCTTCTCTCTCTCTCTCTATCTTTAGAAAAACCTTTTTTCGGTGAAAAAGTTCAGAAGTAAGAAGCATTATTTTGAGTAAAGAACTTTGAGAATCAGAATGAGAATGTTTTTCGGCTACGAATTCGTGTTACTTCCATCTATTCTGGATATTTCGCTCTCTTTCTTTCTCTCTATTTTCTTTTTCCTTTGTCCTTCTTCAATCAAAAATCGCTCTTAACCCATAGCTCAATTAATTTAGAATTTGCATATACGCAAAGATCAGAATTATCCTTTTTTTATTATTATTTTAATTGTTTTTCATCATGCCGAGCCGGCTAGCCTAACACTTCCATTGTCTTATCAATCAGTGAGAGTAACAGAGAGAGAGAGGGAATAGGAGAGAGATACACGTACGAGCTGTGAGCACTGAGCGACTGATTGAAAACCTTTCTCTGCATGTTTTCCTCCCTTCTTACTCTTTATGATTTCTTAAATGCTACTCTGCTTGTAAACTTAACTTTTAACACAATAATCGCAACAGAAGGTCTCCACACAGCGGAAGACAACATTAATTTCATGACGACACCTCTCTCTCTCTCTCTCTATACGCTTCTCTCTCTCCCTCTCTACAGCTCTCCTTCTTCTCCTTTTCGTGTCATTTTCAACGGAAACAACATTTATTGGTCTTCCAAATAAAATATTTTGAGATTTTTGTTTTCGAAAATCATGTATACACTCACTAGCCAATTAATTCCGAATCAAAATAAACAAATCACAACCGCTAACAGCGTTTACCATATCCAAAATGAAAAGCCATGCAGCACGACCGCTCACCAGACATACATGAAATCAGGAATGAAATTTTAATGGATTACATTTCGTAAATTAGCATAAAAGTTTTGAATGTATGCTTGTATGTTAGTTCGTCGTATTCATTAAATGGAGCAAACAAGGATATAATCTTTCATTTTTGCTTAAGTTTTGCATCTTTTGAAACTAATCCGAGTACTTTCGTCCATTTCCTTCAAACTGTCTCTCTCCCTCTCAATGTATCTCTCTCTCTGTCTCTCTCTCTCTCTCTATTCCACCCTCTCAAAGTCATAAACATTCTGTATAATACTGAATATTAATTTTATTTATAATAAGACTTGTATCTTTCTCTCTGTGATCTCATTTCTAACACCTCGGCTCAAACAGAGAGAGCGAGGAAGGAAGGAACTTTTCCATGTTGCACACCCACATGGTCTCAGCATTGTCTCTCTCCCTCTCATTCTTTCTCTTTCTCTCTGATTTAAAGAGCAGCAGTCTTATCTCCTGTTGAGATTTCATTTGACCTCATCTGATACTTTGCTTCTTCGTTTTTCTTTTCCTTTCTACTTTCCGGCAGTGTTGTTTTCCAATTTGAGAGAGTTTCAGCTATGCTTGAGTTCAGTAATTTATTCCATTGTGTCAAACTATCGGAACTTCGTATTTGTCATCCTTTTCCAATAATTTTTATAAAAACCCAATTATGGAAAATAGTTTTCATGAGCTTTTCCATTAATCCCCTCTCATCTTAATCGCGAATGCAACTCTTGAGCAGACGTTCTCTCACGTCGAACGAAAACGTGAAAAAACTTTTATGCTAATGATGATGTTTCCTTACATCGTTACACATTCCCTCCTTACTACGGTAGTTATGATTATGAAAGTTTCAAGCTTAATCTGCCTTTATAAGGCTTTTTCTTTGTTTTTTAAGCCGATCATTACTTTATTTGGTCACAAGATGAACAAGACTTCATCTTTTCCATTCGTCAATTTCTGTTCGTCTTGCTCGAATACGAGAATTCCAAATTTTGGCTCATTCAGCTTTCATGCTTCATCTGTTTTCGTGATGAAACAGTGCAATGACTTAACAAGCTCAAGCAAGCACGCAAAAAAAAAGTTTTCATTAATTACTTAAATTAAATCTGTTTCATCATACATCTATCTGCATAGCAGCAGCAGCAGCAGCAGCAGCAGCAACATCATCAACAGCATCAGCAGCAGTAGCAGCACTCATCTATCATCTATCTCTATGTATAGACTCAATGAGAGAGAGAGAGAGAGAGAGAGCAAATGCCCAAACAACCCTTCTTTTGTGAAGTGATGTAAGTGAACGGCTTGTCCAGGTGACGTAGAAGATTTCATGAAAACAAAAGTTCTTCTCGTTTCTTCATTGTTGTTCATTAAAATATTTAAAGCATATTTGGGAAAAAAATCATTGTTGGAGAAAGTTCTTTTTTTCTTTTTCATTTGCACTTTATGAAACGACGAAAGTAGTTTGCATCTCAATGATATCCTTGACGAGTCAACCGGAGCTCTGCTGTAATTTGCAAGCACACACACTCTCACACACATACACACGTACACACACACACGCACACGCACACACATGCTTTACATGATAATCTAACCTGCCAAATATAGATATTGTTGTTTTTGAGATTCTGTCTTGCTTCATTCAAGCTGTCCAGCTACACCCGCGAGTGTATGACGACACAAAGCTTGAACTCCCAAATCAAAAAAGACAAAAGAAAACTCTCTCACTTGCCTTCCTCTCTATGTCTCTCTCTCTTTCTCTCTCTTCTACTACCTCCGTTCCATATTGGTTCACCAGATCTCTTGTTCGCCTTCCCTTCATCTACAGCTTAATAAATATTTTGTTATTATGTTGTAGATTTATTTTTGATTTTTTTTTTCTACCTTTGAATGAAGAACGCAAACCAAATCGTCGGAAGCAATTACGTTCTCTGACTATGGCAGTGTGTGTTTCTTAGCCAACACCGCCATGCCCTTAAGGTTACGAATTAACTTTATCATTTTTGCTTTCTCTTCATACCCTCTCTCTTTCGCATCTTCACTCTCTCCTTCTCTTACCTCCCTATCTCTCTCTCTCTCTCTGTCTCATTTTTTTTGTTTGAAAGCCATTCTTCGAAGAACATGATCGAATTATGAAATTCAATTAATATCTGGAAACAAATATTTATTTTTCTATTCCACTAACTCAATTATCTTGCCATTCAATGTATAAGTACGCAGATAACAAGACAACCTTTTGATATCAGCTGCTGCTGCTGCTACTGTTGTTGCGTCGTCGACACATGTAATGGCATGTTCATCTTCAGCATATCCCAAATCCCATTTTCGTCTTTTTAATTTTCTATTTTTAAATTAACTAAATAGAACAAAAAGATTAATGAGTTACTGATTTATCTGCAAGCAAAAAGAATAAGAAGAGATGAAAAAAGAGAAAAAAAAAAAAGAAAACATCAACCGTGTTCAAGCAGTCTTGCATCGCGAATGAGATTTTGACGCCATCACATTAGCATATTAGCTTGAGCGCCGAAATTAGCATATTCAAAGTATTGGTTTGATGTACGAAAAACATAAAAATGGTAAAAAAATAAATTTTGGCATCTAAAGTATCATTTATAATGAAAAAATGTGAAATATAATACGTCAAAATGACATCTTCATGCATTTACAGAAGGAATGATGAATCTTCTCCCGATTAACAAGCATCACTGACCTAGACATCACCAACACTCTCTCATGCACATATACACACACTCATATATCTATAGCATATAGCTTTCTCGAACTTTGATGTTTTATATAAACTTTGTGTGATGGTTGTGTTGTTAAAAAGTTAATTTACATTATTCATTAACAGCTCATCATGAAACCTTATTTGTCGTCTGTCTTCATCTTTTCCATCAGACGTCACAATTCAAAGGTCATCCAAATTATTTTTGTTCTTTAATTCACACACACATGCACAGACACACACACACACAGACATAAGCATGTAGAACATGCATATGTATACAACCCTTAACCATCTTCAATACTATCATCACCCATCATCATCAGTCATATCAAGTGCTGTGATTTCCACCTTCTAACAAGCTTTTCTCTCTTTGTTGTTGTTTCTCTTTCGTCTTGGTCAATAGCATTCACAATTCATACCTTATATCCTACTTACAGAGTAACCGAAAGACAATATGAAGGATATTGTCAACAGCAATCGTATCGAGCCATCGAAACGTAAGTTTTCTAATTTTCAAAACCTTTTTTTCTCAAATAAATAATTCTCCTGAGCCTTCGTCTTCGTTGATTATACTTGAACAAGAGCAGTTCTCATTCGTGCTTTTCGATATGAAACACAAAAAGAAGAAGAAGAAGGAGAAGAGTAGAAGACGAAAAAAAAAAGATGGAAAATCAGAAAAGTCCGAAATGCATGTGGTTGGCAGGCCAATTTAATTCGAAACATATGAATCTGCAACTTCTATCCAGCAGCCTATCTATTGAGGATGACAGAGTTTTTGATTAAAAAAAATAAAAAGAGGTTCTGCTGCCGTCCCGCAAAACACCTGTTTTGATTTCTGAGCAATTGAGCTTCGTCTCTTCTTCTTCTTCTTCTACTTCTTCATCATCTTGTTCACTCTCTGCTTCATCACATGCCCGCATGATCATATTCACACTCGCTGGGCCATACCATACATCTGGCCGAATACAGATAGTGTGCTGCTTTTATTATTCTTCTTCTTCATCTTACGCAACTTGACGTTTACCTCAAACCGACATTGAGGTATTCAAAATTGCAATTATAGAAATGAAATGTTTTGTAACGATTCTCGAATACACATGTCTCCATGATTACTATGCCCATATGGTTTGCAGCTTCTTCTACTGTCAACATGATGCGTTTACTGAAAAGTTGAAAAATCTCTTTTTCTTCAAAAACCCATGTTAACCCAACTATTCGTATATCTTATACTTTCCATTCATTGTATGGAAATCATACTTCATCTTCCTTCTCTCTCTCTCTATGTATTTCCTTTTCTCCATCTCTCTCTCTCTCTACCTCTCTCTCTGGTCTAGTCTAGATAGCCTTGCTCCGGTTATTAATAACTATGCGATGACGTATAATTGATGTTGCTCTGAAGTTTAAGATCAAAATTTATATTGAAAGAGTCGTAAGATGAAGATAACTGCTCTTAGATTTGCATATTCATTTCGACCTCTCTCTCTCTGTGTCTCTATGACGCACGTGAAATGATTGCACACGTGTGTCGAGTTAAGTGTCCTTAGTCTAATGCATTTCCTCATTAGGCATAGACATGACTGAGCGGTTGGCCTTTTTTGAAGTTGTCTATTAATTTTATTTTTGAAGTGAGTTATTTGATACTCAGCAGCACAATCTCTCATGTTCCCCTTATTCCATTCATGTAATTGATCTTTCGTGACTAATGAAGAAGAAAATGCTCGAAATCTTTTCAAATGATTATAGGTTTATTCGGGCTTTTCTTCATTTTTTCTTTAAAACCATTAGAATACTTTCAAAGATATCTAGAGAGGGAGGGAGGGAGAGCTAGAGAGAGAGAGAGCTAACCGAATGTCTCACCAACAATTACATCATCTAGTAGTTGTAGTTGTAGGAGTAGCCATAGAGAGAAGCAAAGAATGAGAGAAAGAGATGAAAGCTCAGTATTTTTGTCGTTCCAAATGTCATGAATATCAAATCTTCACCAAGATTTTCGGCTTTTTATCCAAATTCCCTCCGCTTTATCACAGACTTTCTCGTCGTGCCCATCGCCACCCATAACGATCATCATCATCCTCATCATCATCACTGACACAACCTCCAACTCATTAAAGCTCTTAGTTAGGAAAAGGAGCATGAAAGTCATTTTGCTGTCTGCTTACAATAGGAGAGACAATCCAGACCCTCTGATAGAGAGGGAATGAGAAGGAGAGAGAGAGAGAGAGAGAGAGAGAGAGAGAGAGAGGGAGGGAGCTACTGAGATAGGAATTGTTCTGTTTTCTGCGACATGATCATTCATTTCTTTGATTTGAGTTATTGTTTTGTCTTTGTTTTCATAACTTTACTCGCGTAATTGACTTCCGTCCGTTCAATTGTCTAATTTTTCGTCTCAAAAATCAAAATTGCTTCTTCGAAAAAGGGAGATCACTAGAGAGAGAGAGAGAGAGAGAGAGAGGGAAGTAGAAAGAGTGAGTAGTGAGAAGAAGAGTGAGAGAGAGAGAAGGGGTGGTCTTACCATTCAAGAGAACAAGAGAAGTAGAATGGCAACTGATAAAGATAGTTGGAAAAGGCAGCAGTTGAGCTTGTTTTGATTGAGAGATTTGTGATTTGGCAATTAAAGAAGTCTTATTGACCTAATTGAACTTAAGTCTAATTGCATTTTTTTCGGATGTCAATTTGAAGTATTTTTGTAGTTCGATTGCCATAGATATTCGTCTTCGTCGTTGTCGTCGTTGTGATGATCATCTGATAGAGAGAGAGAGAGGGGGGGAGTGAGAGAGAGAGTGAGAAGAAGCTGTCTTGGGGTGGTAGTGGTTGGAAAAACATGAAAATCATAGGCAGTTAGCTCCAAATACGAAAGTTACAATCAGAAAAATATTCATTTTAGAAACAAAATATATTTCAAATAATTCTGAATAAGCTTAACATCTGTCCATTGAGAAGAATATAGAATTACTATACAAGGACATGAGGACCCTTTGAAGAAAGAAAGAGAGAGGGAGAGAGGAGAAAAAAAATTTTTTTCGTCTCTCTCATTTTCCTCATTTAATATAATTATTTTTTCATTTTTTTTTGTTCTGCTTAAAAGGAGAAAGAGAATAAAGGCTCATTTTTTGTATGTTTTATAGTTTGCATAATCACAAATCATATTGTTTTTGTATTTAGATAGAAGAGAGAGAGAGAGAAAGGGATAGAGAGAGGGAAGAGATAGAGAGAGAGAGAGTAATGCTAATGGCTCAGAGGACACAGGGTGAGAGAGAAAAAGATTCTCAAACTCATTGCACCGGAAACATCACGTCAAGTATTGGCCGGAAATAACTTTACCTCTCTTGTACTCAAGAAATTCATAAGCAGCAGCCTTATTGTTTCTCCTTTTTATTTGTTATTTTCCTTTCTTCTTCAACCGTACTTCCGCTCATGACTCCATTTGGTAGAAATAGGCAGAGAGAGAGAGAGGAAAACTTAAATCAACCAGAGTTCAACTGCTTCTCTTTTCAATTTTAGTGATTCAGTCTTAAATGGCATCAAAGGATTATCTCTTTTAATTTTAAATGATCAGCTCGTTCTTGACCATTTGCCTTCCTCTCCTCATCATCATCATCTTCATCATCATCTATGTCGTCGCATCTCATTCATTCGTTTCAAATTGAGCAAAAAAAGAACTCAAAAAGAATGAGTTAGCATAAGCCTTCTTACTCTTCACCCACTCACAGACTTACAGACACTCACTAACTCATCACCTAATCATATTTTATGTATTTGTTTTTCAGTTGCCATGTGTCGTGGTATTCGAATACAGGACGAATGGACTTTCATATGTGGCTTATGGCTTCGAAATCGTTCCATCGTCATTGTTTTAGCCATAATTCAGCTGGTCGTCGCTTGTGTTAGCTTTGCTCAACATGTTTATTCCGTCTCCAAATTTAACAAAGTTAGTTATCATTAGATGATTCGCAGCAACTCTCATAATCCTTCTCTATTGCAGATATTTCTTTGTTCTTTCAATGAAACATCTCCGACGGCAGCAAATTTTCTTGCCGCTGACGTCATTATTTTTGATTTTGGTCTCTTTCATGAGCTCATCCAGGTACAATGACATAATACTTTCATTTGATTTATTCAAAAATGCATTTTAGGTTCAAGAATGCATAGCGAATTACTTAGACGGCGGTTATATGAGATGTCTTTGGTGCATTTCTCAAGTCATAGCTCTGACATTGACCATAGGTGCGTATAAGAAAGAATTTACTTTATACATTGCTCTTGTCGTCGTCACGGTCGTCGTCGTCTATAATTCAATTCCATTTATAGGCACATGTGTTTTTGTTAAAAACCCTCATCCACTCGTTCTGTGGCCGATATTAATAATTCAGAATGCATACTGCTTCGGATTAGTCATTCTAACGATAGCAACAGGTAATTTTTAATTTCAATAAATTTATTTTAATAAGATTTTTGAATGAAAAAAACATTTTTGAATTGATAAGTGACATGAGCAAGAAATTTGAACGAAATCTTTTGGCGCCAAACATCTCATTTACGAAATTGCGGATGAGCCGGACGGTTGTGTATGGCTACAGCTCTGTGTGTGTGTATGTGTGTGTGTGTGTGTGAGAATGTGTGTGTGAATGTGAGCTTGTGTGTGTCTCAGTTTGTGTTCAAAAATCTAATTGTACGGCTTGCACATATGGAATCTTAGCAATCTCCCCTTATTAGAGTAATGATTAGGTAGTATGTTGAGCAGCATGTAGAGGGAGCGGTTGCAAAGGCTAATGATAGTTTGGGTCAAAGAGATTGTAATTAAGCTAAATACCTTGTTTACTTGAATATTTCAGCTGATAAACTACTTGTGTCTATCTTACATCCTATAAATCCACATCTGAACTTGCTCATCTTCTATTTTGGAGTTGGGACATGTACGAATCATTTGTTCGATTACATCCTCTGGCATTACTATTGGCATGAAGAGTATCAATATATAAACAGAACAGGAAAACACGTGTTACCATTTTGGGTTTGACGACGACGATTGTTATCGAGAGAGATCTTCATAGAGAGCTTTATATTTATGGGTATATTGTTTGTTTTATACTGTTTTCAACCATCATCATCTTCATCATCATCAATAAACATATTCTGTTTTTCAAACTGTTCCAATGTGTTTGTGTGATTTTAAGAAATTTGCATTTTCGACATCAAGTCTTGAAGAAAGCAGTTTTTTGTCTTCTCGTCTCATGAAGGCTGAGTTGGAAAAGAAGGTCAAGGTTCTGACCGGCAGTCAGTCACATCGATGGTTAGTCTTCTCTGTTTCTCTCTCTCTCTCTTCGTGTAACTCTTCCACACTTCATTTTCGTTTATTATTTTAAATTTCTGAATATTTTTTTGTCATCATGAAAGAAGATACCGTAATCTGCATCTCATTCATGAAAATAGAGGAATTGAAGCGTATGCGTTATCACTTTAATTTGGTCAAATCTCATCAGTCGGTTTTACCGCATTTGCCTCCACACAATGGAAATGAAAGCAGTTATTGTTCCTTTCCATTATGTGTTCAATGAGAGATGGTGGGAGGAATGATTCTCAGACATTTCCGTTTTTGGAAATTTGCACAGACAGCTCATACTTATTGTCAGACGGAATTTCGTCGGATTAGGAAGTTAAAGCCAAATTTGACCTGTAATAGAAGAGGAAGGAAGGAAGAGAGAGCCGGAGGTTGTGGGAGAGAGAAAGGAAGCTCTCAGAGCCAGACTTCCGAATAACCTAAATTTATTAAAGTGGTAATTCCTGGTTCATGCAATGAAACAGAATTTTCAATTTCAACGATAGAACATTTGAAAATTAAAATATTAATGAGTTTTTCTTTTTCAGCAGATGATATGCCTCTTGCTACTCTTGATCGTAGCTCCCAACGGGTCACCTGAAGAGATTTCGGAATTGCCAAAGTGCAAGCATATAAATCCGTATGAGAAGTTAGTTTCCTATATTGGACATGTTTACTGAAAAGGAAATAATATACGCTAATGCGGAAATAAAGGAAAATCGCTGTTCAACCTATACTTTCATATACGTTCTTCGAATCAAAAATGATTTGAAATTTCAGTTTGAATCAGTGGTTGCAAATCGAACCGTTGGAGCACAGGAATTGTAATTATACCTCGGGTCCCGAAACGAAATTGACAGAAGAAGTGAGCAAAAAGCAACATTCCCACTGTATACTGGCTTTCTTACATTTGCAGGAAAGGGTACATTGGAAGTTTGGATTAAAGAGTTTCGCATTTGACGTTTTGGCCAGTGATCGCATCGGTCCCTTACGCAAAGTAGAATCTCACAGGCACCAATTGTGAGAATTTGAAAGTCGAGTCCCCATTCGAAGGCAAAAAAACATTTTTCAGATGTTCAAAAACGGACTTCACGACTAATTTGAGTGTTTCGATCATAATAATTCATCATAATGAAGCTCTTTCAGTTCTACTTCGAATGCTCATAGGTGACGTTTACTTTTCGAAACGATACGAAGTTGAACGGGGAGTTGTTTAGGAATCTTCGAACGAACGCCATTACAATTGCTCAAAGAAATCATCCTGTATGAAGATGCTAGCGAATCAGAACATCAATTGACCTCATTCTTGAAGCAAGCCATCGAGCAAAAACAATGGACGAACGTACGTGTCGAACGGTCTGATGAACGTCAAGGCTTGATTCGAGCTAAGGTTTGTCCTTTCGAAAGCATTTTTTGATAATGTTCGACAAAACAAGTTGATTAGTCTTTTGATAATTTTCTTTCTCTTTTTGCATTCGTGATAACAACGGGTTGGGTATATCCCCGAGAAACTCAAAGTACAGCTTAGGCAGTTGATACTGCCTTTGCTCTTTGTGTTGTTCCTCTGGAATGAAAGTAACAGGAAATATTTGACAATAATTTTTGTTCTATTTGAAGGTTTTCGCTTCTCGTCTCGCTACAGCTGATGTCCTTGTTTTTCTTGATAGCCACTGTGAGGTAGCGGATGGATGGATTGAACCTCTGTTGGCTCCCATCCAGGAAGATCCTAGATCGTAAGCAGCTTGAGCATAGCTCATTACAAACTGCGCTTGCGAAACAACATTATTCTTTTCAGAGTTGTTGTTCCGATTGTAGACCTCATAAATCCCATTTCTTTCGAATATTCGCAAGCGATGATAGCGAAAAGCGGTTTCGATTGGGCTCTCAACTTCCAATGGGTCTACCTGCCATGGGAATATTGGGCAGAAGAAGAGAACAACGTGAAACCTTTCAAGTTAGATTTGCATGTTTTCAATTCAAACCACTAAATTCCAAATAGATGAAGAAATGACAGAGCTATTAATAAGAATGCACCAATGTTATTTCCTCATCCCTTTTAAGTCAGAAAGCCTCTTTCTTCAATCTGAAGGATTTCTGCTAAATTCAATAGGTTCAAATAATAATCTTTCTAATCACATAATTCTAAGATCACCTTCGATGCCCGGTGGACTTTTCGCCATCCGCAAGGATTATTTCGAACAATTGGGTGAATATGATGAAGGATTGGAGATTTGGGGAGGAGAAAACGTCGAATTATCCTTGAAGGTTGTCTAATTATGAACTTGGCTTTATCAACTCCGTTACGTTGTAGACATGGATGTGTGGTGGAAGAGTTCTTATAGCTCCATGTAGTAGAGTTGGTCACGTGTTTCGTATGCGCAGACCATACAAAAGGTGAGTCGTTCTATTCGAAAGCAAACACACACTTACATACACACACGTATCGTATAGTGTGTAAGAAATCTAAATAAGTAACTGACGACACAGCCTCATCAAAAAGAAAAGAAATGAATGCATGCAACCGCTCATCAACCGCACCACGCGTACACAAATTAAAAAGTGAACAACGTGTGTGTGTGTGTTGACGTATTGCATTAGCATATTCAACTCATGCTTAATATACCGAAAATATGCTAATTGTACACAGAGGGAAAGAACACTACAAAAATATGAATTTTCCAGTAAGCCGGGAATGGATACTAATTTATTCAACTCATTGCGAGTAGCTCGAGCATGGCTTGATGATTACGAGGTAAGATATGAGGAAGTAGAAGAAAAGCCCAACACGAGGCGTTTGTCTCATTTTGCTTACAGAAATACTTTATAAGAGCACGACCTAATGCAGCTCGTCTTGATGCTGGCGATGTGAGCCATGCGAACAAGATAAAAGAAGCACTGAAATGTAAGGATATGAAGTGGTTTGTGGAGAATGTCTATCCTGAACTAACTCCGAACGACTGGATAGAGAAGAGAGAGGAGTTATAGACGTTCTTAGAATAGCTCATGAAAACATTCGAAAAAGTTTGTCAGAAGATATGAATAAATATTAATGTCTACTACTACACCTTGATTGAAAAGCTTTCGGCGTTGTGCGCTGCGAACGCTAACCCCAAAAGTGCAAATGTATGTTTGAATTGGCGCCAAGGCCTGATAGGCAGGCGAGTCGATGACATCACTTTTCCCAAGCTTTGAACCATTTCTGGTAAGCGTGACGTCACGATTCCGTATTTTTTCTTATTTTTATTGTAATGTTACATTACGCGTTGCTAGCTATAATGTCTGCACTCTCCATCGCCATTTTGCGCTTTGCCTCGTTTATTGATTTTCTTGCGCCACTTCACTGCATACAGACGGATAATTTTTGGCATTTTAATATGATAACGAGTTGCAAGCGTTTTGTTGATTTTTTCCTCATGTGCAATCTTTTTTTTTATTATTTTCTTCGTCAAATCTTTTTGTTACTTTCAGTGCCTCGCACCCCGAGCCCAGGCGCATGTTTAGTGAAATTAGTTATCGTAAACGCCAGAACTGATGTCTAATCCTACTGCAAATGGTCATGTAAGTTTAAATTTTATTTTTTTCCGTCTTCTCCTCCTCTTCTGCTTCTCCCGTCTCCTTCCATCTATGTATGTGTGTACTAGTGGTTCATCATTTATGTCATCCATTAGAGAGCTATGACTTGTCTTGTCTGGATATGCTTGTGTGCTCTTCATAAACGTCTTCGTCCTCCACTTTCTTTTGCTACTTTCTTGTTTTCTTCCGTCAGCTTATCATGTTCTCTGATTACTACTATTACTAACCATTATGTCCAATGAAATTATATTGATTTTCTAATGAAAATTGATAGAATTTATTAGAATGCAGCCTTACATACTTAATGCTCTGCTACGAAGCTGAAAAGTTACTTTCAACTCTGCACATTAATCCCCCCTGCTCGAATTTTATTCAAATTTTCGATTACATCGTGTCACGTGAGCTCTCACATCCGCTCTCCCAATCCAGCACTACAACTGGCTTCTCTCATTTCCGCTAAGTCGAAGCTTGAGATTCGAGGTTACCTTCATATAGGAATACACTCCATTTGTTTTCTTCGCCACTGTTTTTGTATTAAATTCATTCTTTTTAATCAATGGGATTTCATTAACTTGATTGGTATTTCTACTTATCTGCCGAAATTTTCTAATCCCAGCAGCTTATCTATCACATTTATCCTCTCTGTTTCTCTTGTTCATTTGCCACTTGCAAGTAGTCTCCCTTTCCTTAAATGGTGTTGATTTTCAAGGTTTGTTTTTTATTTTTATTGTCAACTACCCCTATATGCAATCATAGTTTCACTATACATTCTAATTCTCGTTTAGACAATGACCGGCGAAGAAGTTATGTCGGAAGATGAGGCCAGAAAGCGCAGAGAACAACTCAATAGGCGGCCGAGTTACCGGTAAGTTCCTTCGTTCTTCATTTTTTTTCGTATGTATGTGTGTGTGTGTTAAATTCCTCATGAAATGTTCGGGGCAGTTCGTCGAGATGTCTCTTCTCTTCTCCTACTTCATTTCGTTTTCAAAGCTTGTTCGTCTAATTCTTTTTTCTCTCTCTGCTATGTTCTATAACCGTTCAATTGCAACCTCTTTCCGTTTTTGTGGCAGAATTTCTCAGTCAATTTCTGCGTGGACGAATTTTTTTTTTGTAAATTGCGAAACGGCTTGAAAGTTTCTCGTAAAACTCATAGGTCTGTTGCTAGTGAAAGAGCTCGTTGGGATATGTCTTGTTACCCCAGCAACCACATCGTGCCTCACACAATCAAGGGATTTCAGATACAAACATATTAAAAGTTGATAATAATATGGATGGGAATTCTATCAGACCTCATTTGCGAAGCTTTGAGATGCGCAAATGATCTTTCATTCTTACCTCACTTGGTTATTCATCTAGGCTCCAAAGGGATCATGGAATGGGAGGGGAGGGATAGGTCTTCTTTGATTGCCTTATCTCCCACATCGTTCAACCATACACCGCACATCCTGCCGGCTCAAAAAGTGGTCTTTCCTCTTTCTCATGTAATTGTTATCCTTTCGAGTGAGAGTGATAAACTGATTACTTTGGTCTGCTTCTTATGCCTCCTGGGCGGGGCTGGAGTGGGGGAGGGAGGCGTTTCTTCCAGTACATAACATCCACCCTCACTTCGTTTCGTTTTTGAAAACTTGGATTATGAGGTCCGTGCAGGTGCTGTGTCCCTTACGAATTCCTAAAAAGCTTGAGGTTTCCCAGTAGCCGTCTATTACAACATGAGATATGGCGGCTTTCAATGGCCGCTTATGCCGAGCTTAAGTTTCATATCCTCCCGATTATCTCTCTTACTTCGTTTTTTTCGTGTGGTTCTTCATTTTCATATTTCTTTTTCGCACGAAGTTTAAGCTTCTTGTCGAGTCTCGGGAGGGTTTTCCTATGTTTCTCTTTGGCTTTCGTCTCTCATCGTGTCCTTCGGCTTATCCATCGTGTATCTCTCCAGGTAAAAATACGGGGTATTAGGCATTGGCTATGGATGCTTGCGGTATATACGGATTTCTTTCCCAATACCATAATAGTCCTCAGTGTTACGTTTTCCAACAACCAAGCATCAAGAGGTGATTCGAACATTTCGTGAGAAATTCCGAACTTTCATCAGCTTCTCCCCTTAATTTCGATTTTCAGCATGATCTTAAAAGATATTGAAACTGTTGATAAAGTCCTTAAAAAAGAACCTGAAGAAACTCCGCCATCATCTGTTGACGCCTCTCCTCTACAAGTATCTATTCCTTACTCACAATGCTGTCTACTCCCTCTCTCATTTAAGGTCCACATCCCCCAAACTCAGGCTCCTGCGCGTATGCCCTCCGGACCTCCTTCATACTCTTCACCACTCTCAGGTATTTCGCTCGTGACGTCCTTCGTCTTCTTCACGTATTTCTCTTTCTTGTGCTGTTATCAATTTCTCCCAACTTCATACAAAGTTTTCTATTGATCAACGTACTTTTGTAGGAAACCTCTTATCATCGGGTTCTTTGCCGTCTTCTCTGCAGCTAAACGGTGATCTGGGTCAGATACCGGGACTGGATTTCGTGGCGGTAGTTGCTGCAGCCACGTCGTCTCATCAGCAGCCCACACCGGTATCTAGCCAGCCAGGTAATTTTTTAAATCAGAATGTAAGAAAATCGGGAATTTTCTAGGTGGCTCGGCGGTACTAATGGGTTCAGACGGGCATCTCAAATCGATGAGTATGGACGGGTCATTTTCGGCTGGTAAGTTAGTTGTTTCTCGGCCATAATTCATATCGGGTGTTATTAGAATGGAACTCTCCCTTACTTTCCGGATATAGTAGCTCTCCGTCTCCGACATTGGCCACTGGAAATCGCATAGGACAGGGTGAAGATGAGAGCTCTCGAAAACGACAAGTAAGGCTTCGTTTAATAAATGGCCAGGGACTAATATCGATTAATGTCAGGTTCGCTTATTGAAAAATAGGGAAGCAGCAAAAGAATGTCGACGGAAAAAGAAGGTTAGTGTGTTTTCGGTCCGGAAATTTTAGCGAAATGACTTTCTATAGGAATATGTGAAGTGTCTGGAGAACAGAGTCTCGGTATTGGAAAATCAAAACAAAGCTCTAATCGAAGAGTTGAAAACGCTTAAGGAGTTGTATTGTCGAAAGGAGAAAAGCGAAATGTAAGTCTGGGATTGGTCCAGGGATTCTTACGGTTCGTCCTCCTATCTCATCTATGACAATAATTTAGTTTCAATGAAGTTTGTGAGAACTCCTAACTTCTTCTTATCAAATCCCATTACGTTGTAACCTCCGTTTTTGACTAGTTCGTTAATAAATGGAATTATTAACCTAATTCCTATGGTTTGTATTTTGTTTAGTTTGATTAGAATTGTTTGTTCATGTTATTGGTGAGGCCACACTCTCGTGGATCTCTGGCTCTTCTTTCTTCCCCCCTCCTTATCTTTGAGACAGCAATTCTCATTTTTTGGTTGTCCTTCTCAAGGTTTCTAACATATTCCAGAGAACATCAGTATGTGGTTTTTAACAAATAAAAATTGTGATATATCATTTTAACGGTAGTGACCGTCTCTTCATTTTCAGGATTTGAATTTACCTTGCTTCATTCACATTGTACGTTTTTCTTCGCCATTGTATGCTTTTAGTTTATCCGACATATTAATATTTTTATTTTTTTAATTCAGCAGTCTTGATTTTTATTCTTTCAAATTCCATATTTTACCTAATAAAGATTTATAATCTTCTTTTATCTCGTCTGCTGCATCAGACAGACATGCATTCCCACACACACACTCATAGACGCTTCTTTCTTCCCCCCACCCAACAACTATTCCAGGCCTGATTCCAAAACAACGTCAATCTGCTGTGAATGATAATAGCCGTTCTGCGACCCACACCTATAACTCTATCATTCTCAAATCAATTCCGAACTAGGACGGTTGTGTTCCGCTGTGTACGTCTTTGTGTGTCTTGCTCGACAACATCGACTTCTGTCACACACACACACACACACACACACATATAGAAGAGAATTCAAGTTGATGCGAAAGTCTGTCGATTAAAATTTAATAATATTCCTCCTGCGCAAAATCAGATGGCAATAAATTACTTTCTCACACGACAATCTGGTCGTCGATTTTCAAGAGTAACACTCTCATAGGCTCAATTTCTATCGTGCTTGCATCGAGCAATATCAGTTCAAAGAATATGCAAATATTACAGACACATGCATTCTATATATGGACAGTCGATCGTTTGTTAACAGAATTTGTGCGAAGCTTGACGTATAGTCCGTGTTTGGAAGGCGCATATTTGGTGTTGGACAACTGCCAACTCCTTCTGAATTCGTCGATTCTCCCGTATGTGCTCGGACGCGTGGGTATTAAATATCGAGCTATACGAAGCTTCTCAGTCTAAACTTCGATTCTAAGTTCGACCAAAAAGTAAAAGACGCCCGCTTTCTCATTTTTTCTTTTCATGTTCTTTAGTTTTCTGCGCCGACTTTTGATCAGCATTTTTGGCAAAATGACGATTCGTTTGTATCAAATTAGTAACAAATTACTAATTGCCTTTCTTCATATTCTTTTTCTTTCTTTCGCTCGATTAGAAATGTTTTTATTTCATTATTCTAATTTATGCTTTAGATTCTTCGATTTAGGTATAGTTTGACTTGAAAACCATCAGTCATGACCGACTCCAAATATTTCACCACCACCAAGAAAGGTAATCACACATACACACTCATACATTCAATTAAAAATCTTTTTTTCCTTTTAAGGTGAAATATTTGAGTTGAAAACAGAATTGAACTCGGACAAAAAAGAAAAGAAACGAGAAGCTGTTAAGAAGGTTATTGCTAGCATGACTGTTGGTAAAGATGTCAGGTATGTTGTCTTCAGCAACACTCACAACTTACCTTCCCTTCTTCAGTGCTTTATTTCCTGACGTAGTTAACTGCATGCAAACAGATAATGTGGAACTCAAGAAATTAGTTTATTTGTATTTAATGAATTATGCGAAGAGCCAGCCCGATTTGGCTATCATGGCTGTGAATACATTCGTCAAGGTGCTTTCTCCTTATCCCCAAACCTCTCAATCAATGTCTTCTTTGTAGGATTGTGAAGATCCAAACCCTCTGATCAGAGCTTTAGCTGTTCGAACTATGGGATGTATCAGAGTTGATAAGATCACTGAATATTTATGTGAACCTCTAAGAAAATGCATGAAGGTTTGTCTGTTCGTTGTTTTCTTTCCTCAAATTAGGTTTCTTAGGATGAGGACCCATATGTAAGAAAGACTGCTGCTGTTTGTGTCGCAAAGCTTCATGATATGAATCCAACTCTCGTTGAAGAGCAGGGTTTCCATGAGCTACTCAACGATCTGTTATCTGATGCTAACCCCATGGTCGTCGCCAATGCTGTCGCTGCCCTTTCAGAAATTAATGAGCAACGACCCATCATTGAGGTTCATCTTTCGAAGCACACATTCATTTTATCATACATTTCTTAGGTTAACAGTCAAATGGTTAATAAACTATTGACCGCTCTGAATGAGTGTACTGAATGGGGACAAGTATTCATCCTCGACGCTCTCGCTGATTACCGTCCAAAGGATGAACGAGAAGCTCAAAATATCTGCGAAAGAATTTCTCCAAGACTCGCTCATGCTAACGCTGCTGTCGTTCTCTCTACTGTGAAAGTTTTAATGAAACTCGTGGATTTACTGCCCTCTGACTCAGACTTCATTAACCAACTCACCAAGAAACTTGCTCCTCCAATGGTTCGTTCGTATCATATTTCACTCAATTCCCAGCTGTTATAGGTGACACTTCTTTCTGCTGAGCCTGAGATTCAATACGTCGCCTTGAGAAACATCAATCTCATCGTTCAAAAACGCCCTGAGATCCTCAAACAGGAAATGAAGGTAAGCGATTGTTGCTGAAGGGTGAATACAACCTTCCTTCAGGTTTTCTTTGTCAAATACAATGATCCCATATATGTGAAAATGGAGAAGTTGGACATCATGATTCGTCTTGCTCAACAAAGTAATATCGCTCAAGTATTGAGTGAATTGAAAGAGTATGCAACTGAAGTTGATGTGGATTTCGTCAGAAAGTCTGTCCGAGCTATTGGAAGATGTGCTATCAAGGTAAGATTTCCATATACATTCTCTTCTGAACAAGGTTTTCTAGGTTGAGCAAAGCAGCGAACGTTGCGTAGCTACACTCTTAGAGCTCATCCAAACCAAAGTCAATTATGTCGTACAAGAAGCTGTTGTTGTTATCAAGGATATCTTCCGTAAATATCCCAATCGCTACGAAAGCATAATCTCCACTCTGTGCGAGGTATCATCTCAACTTGTTTTCCGCTTATTTTCGGTATTTAGAACTTGGATACTCTGGATGAGCCTGAAGCCAGAGCTTCAATGATTTGGATCATTGGAGAATATGCCGAGAGAATCGATAACGCCGATGAGTTGCTCGAGAGTTTCGTTGAAGGCTTCCATGATGAGAACACTCAAGTAAGGAAGAGATTTGCATATGTTATTTGACCTTTAACCTTTCAAGGTACAATTACAACTTCTGACTGCTGTCGTTAAATTGTTCTTGAAAAGACCCGCTGATACTCAGCAAATTGTTCAGCGTGTTCTTTCTTTGGCCACTCAAGACAGCGACAATCCAGATTTGAGAGACAGAGGGTATGTTCACTTTCCGAATCGAATTAAAGCTTTCTTGTTCAGTTACATTTACTGGAGACTTCTTTCTGCTGATCCAGCAGCTGCCAAACAAGTTGTTCTCGCTGAAAAACCCTTGATTTCGGAAGAAACCGACTTGTTAGAGCCATCGCTGCTCGACCAATTAGTCTGTCATATTGGAAGTTTGGCTTCCGTCTACCACAAACCTCCTTCATCTTTCATTGACACAACTCGTCAACCTCTCCGTCAAGCTGGTGTTCCATTCAAGTATGTTTTACTCATTCATTCATGCAACTAATCTCCTTTTAGTGGATCCACTGCTGGTGACGGATCTTCGGTCAATAGCGTTACCGCGAATGCTCCTACTGTTATTCCTTCGCAAGATCATGTGATAGCAGACTTGCTTTCTCTTGATCTTGGTGCACCAATGGGTGGAGCTCAACCTCAACAAGGTTCACTTCATATCGCTTATTTTTTTAAATCGTGCAACTACAGCTTTCGATGCTCCCGCTGCTGTGAGTGGATTAGATGATCTTCTCGGTCTTGGATCATCTAGTGTTCCTGTTTCTGCCCCAGCTCCTGTTATTGGCTCTGCCATAGATCCACTTGCAAGCCTAGGGCTTGGTGCCCCAATTCAGGCTGCTCCTTCTGCACCTGCTGCCGCACCTGCTCCAGGTCTCGGTAAGTCAATGAAAAGGTTCTATGAGTACAAGCTTTTTCTATAGGTGGATTAACGGATATTTTCGGTGGCTTGAGCGTTGGATCTACCCAAAGCTATCAGTTCCCAAGAGAGCTCTGGTTAGAAGCCCCCAAATCTAAGGGATTGCATGTGGAGGGAACTTGGTACAGAAAGGCTGGCAAGGTTGTCATGGATATGTCCATCAGTAATAAGGTAATTGAAAGTGGGGTTTTCGTGTTACCTTAGTTGTTCAGGCAATGCAACCACTATCCGGATTCGCTGTACAGTTCAATAAGAATTCTTTCGGATTGATGCCATCGGAGCAAGTTAGTATTCCAACTCCTGTTCTCCCAGGACAAACTATTAATGTAAGATAGCATGTTAATGAAACGAAAAACAATAATTGAATCAGGTGACCATAAATTGTGATACGAACGGACCAGTTCAAAAGATGGAGCCACTCACCAACTTACAGGTTTGCAAAGATTTTGTTGAAAAAGTTGAAGTTGGAAGTTCTCTCAACCACTTGCAACAGCCTTCACCTAAGTTCAAAGGGGGAGAATGATAACAGAGTCTCTTTGCCCAGAAGATTATATTCTCGTCTGCATCTTGAGAAATAGATAAAGACTGCTCAAATTTGTTGATTTTTTCTCC